GTGAATGTTTCGTTTCAGGTCGTAAAACTCCCCTTGTCCTCACTACAAGCCCCCCCCCCCCTCATTTTTTTTAAAGAAATAGGCCAAGCGCGTGGGCCAAAAGCTGTAACTTCACGATGGGGGTGGGGGGTGGGACAGAACGGGAAGAGGGCCTTTTTCTTCTATCTGCACACGACAGTAATTTTGGTGCCGTCTGCATCAAGAGGCCAGCGTGTCACACACATTGAGACACACACACATACATACATACACACGCACACCAAAAGGACCGTGTGCAATGACACCGCGTGAACCACGACGAAGGAGATTTTTTAAAACTTGGCCAAAATACGGGCCAGATAAAACGGGGTTAAACACGCCGTACAAACGCACCTTGCAATCCCAGTGCAGCGGTTCCCACACTGGTGGCGAGGACTGGGATGTGTGGACTGGTGCAGCCTTACTCACGTGTGCGATCAATAGAGTTGTTAAACTATCGAGCCATTCATAAGTAAAGACGCATACCATTCAAATAACCCTTTGTATAGGGAAACCCAGTTTAAAGTGACCTTAGCTATGTATTGACTATTTTATCCAGGGGTGTTGCCGGCTTAAGTGTTGGATGAGGGTCGATATATATATATATATATATATATATATTATATATATATATATATATATATATATATATATATATATATATATATATATATATATATATACAGTGGCGTAGCGAGGTCTGGTGTCACCCGGTGCGGCACTTAATGGTGTCACCCCCCCCCCCAGAGGCGTTGCGACCCTTACCGGGGACAAACTGTTAAGTTTTAGATTTGCACCCCCCCCTCAAACTTTCGATTTTGCACCCCCCCCCCCCTCAATTTTTCGATTTGCACCCCCCCCCCCCCTCAAACTTTCGATTTGCACCCCCCCTCAAGTTTTTCTCTCTATATTTTGCCATTTTTTGCCTTGGTGTCACCCCCCTAAATGGTGTCACCCGGTGCGGTCCGCACCCCCCGCTACGCCCCTGTATATATATATATATATATATATATGTATATATATATATATATATATATATATATATATATATATATATATATATATTCGTAAAGGAATGTACAAAATAATTACAAAATAGAATCTTTAATTGAATATCGATTGCTGCTACATTTTCTTTGTTTTGTTTTGTTTTCTTCTTTTTTTTTTTTTGGCTTCAACTTCACTTAATCAGCTTGATATCTCATTTCGATAAATTAAGTAAGAAAATAGTGTAAAATAGTTTTTAAAATAGTTTATCAATGGATGGTTCGCTATTCCAAGGATTAAAGCACGACGGTTTATTAAAACAATAACAATATGTATTTTGGTTTTAAAAAAATGTATTCCTTATTTTTTTTAAAGAGAGATATTCAAGAAAGCGCCACCATTTTTTTAGAGGTGCTACACAAAAACTTGGCCACCACTGACCTAGTGCGAGAAGTTGCCTTGCACTTTTCCGACCAAATTTAGTGCTTGCGCATGGCAAACGACGCGGCTTCCCTCCCCTCCATTTCTACCCTCGTAGCCTCCGCTTTCTGTGGTGCAACCATTTTCTGCTACATTTCAGTCGCTTAGGGTTATCGCCCCTTCATTTGAGGTATACCATAGCGAGAGGGTGGAGGGGGATGTTGTATCAGATATATAAATAGGCCTAGGGTATTTCACGCGGCGTGCATTACTTCAATAAAAACACAGTCGTCTGCTAGCCTGTCCTGACGCGGCGCAGACGGTTACATCATACTACCTGCTTAGTTCTACTGTTCTAACATTTAACATACAGCGCTGACTGTTAACAGCATATCAATCTTTGGATTACTTTTAAAATCTGCAGGCAGTATTGGTACACTACTTCAACAAGGTAAAACTAATCGTGTGTTGTTGGTGACAAAAATAATAACATGGCATTCTATTTCTTTTTTTGTTGTTGTTGTTATTGAAATAGTATACACTACTTATTTAAAACACAAGATCTAAATTTAGTTCCCATTTGGATAACTAAATCCAAATAGTTCCTACTGCCCACTTGTATAAATAGACCCAAATAGTTTCCACCTCTAAAATCTTCCTCCCTACCTACTCTAAAATTAAGTTTTTAGAGTCTGCTCTCTGACATTTAATATTATCATAGATAAATATTAACCACTATTTTAAGATTATCATAGATAAATATTAACCACTATTTTAAGATTATCATACTATGATAATCTTAAAAATAGTGATTCATAGATAAATATTAACCACTATTTTAAGATTATCATAGATAAATATTAACCACTATTTTAAGATTATCATAGATAAATATTAACCACTATTTTAATATTATCATAGATAAATATTAACCACTATTTTAAGATTATCATAGATAAATATTAACCACTAATTTAAGATTATCATAGATAAATATTGACACAATTCAAAATTGTAGTAGTTAAAGTCTAGCCACCTTCTAAGATTGTCAAAGATAAATTGATCTTTCAGATTTAGAAGGGGTCGAAATTTTCGCTCGCGAGTTAAGTAAAAGCTTATGAAAAATTGCAACTGCAGAAGACTTTAATTATTTTTTTATATTTTGTGTAAGGCTACTTTTCTATTTATTTTTTTATCTAGCCTAAACTATAACCTGACGCAGGGGCGTAGCGAGGGGGGGGGGGGGGGCGGGGGGTGCGGACCGCACCGGGTGACACCATTTAGGGGGGTGACACCAAGGCAAAAAATAGCAAAATATATAGAGAAAAACTCGAGGGGGGGGGGGGGTGCAAATCGAAAGTTTGAGGGGGGGGGTGCAAATCGAAAACTTGAGGGAGGGGGGTGCAAATCGAAAGTTTGAGGGGGGGGGGTGCAAATCGAAAATTTGAAAGTTTGTCCCTGGGAAGGGTCTCTATGCCTCTGGGGGGGGTGACACCATTAAGTGCCGCACCGGGTGACACCCGACCTCGCTACGCCACTGACCTGACGTTTTACTTTCGTAAAACGAACATTGATTGTATTTACGGAAATCCCAAGATCGAACTTTTGAAAATCTCATTCTGTAATTTGTTCTAAACAATTTAAAAAAAATGGTATTTTAAAACTACATGGCCTAGTTATGCTATGTATATTTAATTTTTCAGTGATAAAATTAAAACAAATGCATTGTTTTTCCTTTTAAAAGTTCTGTTAAGTTACCGAAAACATTAAAAAAACTCTCCTAGAACTAGATCCAGTGGTGTAGCAAGGTCGGGTCTCACCAGATGCGGTCCGCACACCCCCCCCCCCGGCTACGCCTCTGACTAGATCTACATCCAATCTTGTTCAAAAAACGCCAAACTGATTTTAAAATAACCATATTTATTGTAATAACACATGCACATGATTTTAAGAAATGTGATGAACCTTTCAACTACATTCAAGAATTTTCTCGTTTGTGCCCATTACAAAATATGCATTTGATACAGGTAGTGTACATTAAAACTAACGATTACTTAAAAGAAAAAAAAGAAGTTACTGTAGACAAAGTAACAAATGTATGAAGAAATCAGTGTGTCTGGTGTGACTTCGGAAATAATGCAAAAATTGTCTAGCTTTACTGTAGACAGAGTTCATGCGAAAATATGCAGTTTAATTTCAGACATGTAAAAATGTGTCTAGCTTTACTGTAGACATTCTAAAATTAAGTCCCTTACAGCTGACTATATGCAGAAAGAAATCTACCTGTTTTACCTGCCAACGACATGTAATATATTTATAAAATGATCGAGTCACGCATGGCCTACAGCTCTGAAATTCATAAAAGATAGTTTACATCTCCAGGTCTCAAGCTTTGGTTAATGTTGAAGACATGTATTACCAACAATTAGCATAAACAACAGCATTATTGTAGGCCTACTGCTAAACGTATTACCAGCTTAATTTAAACAACATAATGAACAACTTTAATAAACACAGCTTTATGATACAATATTAGCAAACCAAAAACGGGTATGAGCTACATGTAAGTCCTGCATGACCATCAATGTATTAAAAACTTAAGTGTACGATATTTCCACCATTACGTGCGTTACCCTCGTACTAATAACGACTGAAATAAACCACTAGCTATTTAATGCCACTGTTACAATTACATAACCCAGTGACTCTAATTTCCATTGACTATTTTGTTTTCTATTCAATGGCGTCGCCTAGAAACAGTCATGTGGTTGAACAGACTATTAATAGACTTAACATGGTTGACAACGCCGAGTGTGCTTGTGGCAGGGGGGGGGGGGGACTGGTTGCTCTATGGGGGACGGGGAACGCGTTTTTTTTTTTCAGTTAAGTTGTAAAGTACACGGGGGGGGGGGGGGTTGGGAAATTACAGTCACTGTTGGTGTGAGGTTGGGGGGGGGGGGGGGGCATGGCTTACTTTTTTAAAGTACTGTTGCTGTGTTTTTTATGTTTTAAAAAAATCGACAGCCATTTTTATTGTTGATTTCTCTGTCATACTATGCTTGAGTTGTTGGCCTTATTTGGTCGATATCTAGATCGTAGAATATATGAGGGGCCTAGTTCTTTGGTTGTGTCACACAATCTGGTGGCGGGGGTTGTGGGAGGGGGGAGGGATGGGTGGAATTTCGTGACTTTTTAAACAAAGGCTCGTGTGTGTGTGTGGGCGGGGGTGGGGTGGGGGAAGGTTAATTTCGTGACGATTGAAATAATACGTTCTCAAAACCAATTAAAAATCGTGCCGTAAGGTGTGATTGCTTGAAATAAATTATGAATCCCAGACGTAGGATTGAATTGCAAATCGTGATATACACAAATTTAAGAGGTTTCAGGGTGGAGTTACACCCCTTGCCCATCTGCTCCTGAAAACCACCCCATTATGCCGTTAACTACCTCGCTATTGATATGTATTTCTGTATATCATGTAGGCGTATGTTCATGTATTTCTGTATGTTTTGTAGGCATATGTCTATTATTTATGTATACCATCTAGGGAAATGTCTATGTATTTCTGTATATCAAGTAGTCATATGGCGATGTATTCGTCAAAAAATAATGCCTTGAAATGTGGGCTATCAGTTTTGAAACAGACATATATACAAATCCTATATGTGATTACATGTCCTACACATGTCCAACTACATGTCCAACTACATCTCCTACATCTATGGAGTGTCCTTCATGTGACCACACGTCCTGACAATATGTCCTACATGTGACCACACGTCCTGACAATATGTCCTACATGTGACCACACGTCCTGATGTCCTACGTGTGACCACACGTCCTGATGTCCTACGTGTGACCACACGTCCTGACCAAATGTCCTACATGTGACCAAATGTCCCGATGTCCTACATGTGACCACACGTCCTACATGTGACCACACGTCCTACATGTGACCACATATGTGACCAAATGTAACCAAATGTCCTACATGTGACCACACGTCCTGCATGTGACAATATGTCCTGACCACATGTCCAGCATGTGACCAAATGTCCTACATCTGGAATGCGTGTCCTACATCTGTGGTTTGCTTGCACTGCTTGTGTAAAGTACATGTTCTACATCCAACCAGATCTGCAATGTACCGTAGACCGACTAGAGATCTCGTCAGTCAGGTCACGTTAAAGTATGATCAACGACAGAAGTAGGATAGTGGGGAGGGTTGGGGGTGGGAGTGTGAGGGGGTGGGGGGTAGTAAAGGGGTGGGGTGGTTTTATTCAAGTGTCGGCCCCTGCGTTCGCTACGTGTTTTAATGGGGTTTGTTTCTTTGAATATTGATTTTAAAAAACGTCCTACTTTTTTTTAAATACATGTTTTAAAATATGCCTATATTAACTATATTAAAATCTATTTAAAATAGATTGAAGGAATGTTTAATTTATTATAGATTGGACTAATATTTTACATACGAAACCATATATTTTATTTTAAATATGCCTATCTTAACTATATTAAAATCTATTTTAAATATATTAAAATACTGCTTAATTCATTATAGATTCGGCTTATATTTTACATATGAAACCACATATTTATAAGTTTTTTAATAAGCCTATATTATCTATATTAAAATCTATGTAAAATCTATTAAAGGAACGCTAAATTCATTTTAGACTTGGCTTAAATTTTACATATGAAAACAGATCAGATGCGTAGAGACCCTTCCCGGCGCCCTGGGACAAACTTTCAATTTGCCCCCCCCCCCCCCCAAATCATTTTTTATATTTATAATTAAAAAAGCAGCTAGTATGAGCTTATAATTTTTTCCAACCCATTTTGGCGCTCCTAGGGTCGGCGCCCGGGGACATATGTACCCCCGCCCCCCCCCCCCCCCCTCCTCTGAAACAGATATTTGATAGGAGTTTCAATTCAGATTGTTATCACTATGACAAGCCGCGCCCACTCATTTGATTTACTGGCGGCGTCACACCACAAATTGTTATCGCGGGATGTGTATTAGTAACACATGAACTAAACTAACCCTAACGGTGTTGCCTAAACCCTAACAAGATAGTGTTATAGCTGAATATCTTTTAATCCTAACCGTCTACACTTGGATGAGACCAAACCCTAAACCGGTGACGTGGTACGGCTAACCCAACTGTCAGAAATGAGGTCGCGGTGCCCGAGTTTTGGGCTTGTCAACCCGATTTCTTTTTAACTGTTTTCTGGACACCTATCACCGTAAACACCGCAAAGCTCAAATATTTTGTCAACCTACTTTTCGTAAACGCCATACAAAGGTAGATATCAGTGGCGTAGGCGGGATTTTGTCATGTGGGGGATATATATATATATATATATATATATATATATATATATATATATATATATATATATATATATATATATATATATATATATATATATATATATATATATATATACATATTTCTTTTCTTTAAATTAACGTCAGACGAATTTCAGTTTGATGATTTTCCTTGATGTCTAACACCCCCATATTCCGCCTCACCACTGTGTACCAAGAACACCCTTATATCATTTGGAGAAGTTAAAGACAGTGTTTCTTCCCGACTTTTTTCTCCGGGGGGGGGGGGGGGGGGTGGCACTTGAAATTTTCGCGGGGGGGGGGGGGGCGATAGACTTTCTTCGGGGGGGGGGGGGGCAACTGTTAAAAGTAAATATTTTCTATATAAATTATAAAAATTTCATTTCGTTCGGGGGGGGGGGGGGGGCGGTTAAATATTCCCCCCCCCCCCCCCCCCTCCCCCCGAAGAGATGCCTGGAAGAAACTCTGGTTATAGAGGTTAGATATGTTTTCATACATGCGTGTCAACAACGGCGGCCATTGTGTTCATAAAGAGTTCACGTTTGTTGATAAACATCACTCCGCACCCCATTGCCCCTGTCTAACCACCAAACACGTCTACGAGTCGACTTCAGATGTAAACAAACGAAAAAAAAAAATGGTGTGTACCTGTGAGTGAACGATTGTTGACACGTATCACTGAATCTCACGTCACTGAATCATTTTTTTTAGTGCGGTGTGTAATTGGCTTACCCTATACAACTTTTAGCTGTCCATTTCTTCTCTAGGTAAATATTTTATTGGAATAATGTAATTTATTAACCGTTAGGCCAGTAGTGCGTATTACCTATTTCGCTTTATGCTCCCTTCAAACTTTCTAGCGAAAGGGAGGGGGGGGGGGGTATTTTCTCATGCGTATGACGTAATTGATTATTTTATATTGGTTAGGCCAATAGCATTTGTAGGATGCTATCGAGCTTTCTTGCTACGTCTAACGATAGTTTAATAAATGTACACAGTTTCATTGCCATAAAAGTCGGTTGTTTAGTAAAGGGTTTGTCTTGTAATCTGTGAATTAAAAAAAAAAATTTTTGCATTTTAAGATCTTTTTTCCATTCAGGATATAATAATAATATTGCTGATTTCTATTTTATCATTCGCAGGCGAGAATTTAAAATTCTGGAATAACGCGAGAATTTTGTTTTGAAAACATGGATTTGGCAACCACCTCCACCGTAAGGGCAGTCGGCCAGAAGCTGACGTCACTAGGGTCAAGGTTCCAGCTGCCCAGTTGGATCCTGGTCTGGTTCTACGCCACAGCGGTCATCTGTACGTGGGACGCCACGTTTATCATGCTCAGGCCGTACACGTTGCCCGGGGGTTCTCTGGCTGGCTTCTGGTACCTATGTGAGTAGGAGTGGGTTTTTTTGTGGGGTGGGGGTTTAAGGTGTGGGTTAGGGTTTGTGTGAGGTTGATTTTTCATGGGGTGGGGGTTTTAGAAGTGGGTGGGGGTTTGTGTGAGGTTGATTTTTTTATGGGGTGGGGATTAGTGTGGGGTGGGATGGGGGTTGTAGGAGTGGGTGGGGTTTGTGTGAGGTGGATTTTTTGTGGGTGGTTTGTGTGGGGTGGGGGTTTGTAGGGGTGGGTGGGGGTTGTGTGAGATGGGTTGTAGGGGTGTGTGAGGTGGATTTTTTGTGGGGTGGGGTTAGTGTGAGGTGGGGTTTCTGTGAGATTAGGATTTGTAGGGGTGGGTGGGGGTTTGTGTGAGATGGGTTTTTTAATGGTGGGGGTTTGTGTGGGGTGATGGACGGGCTTTTAAGAAGTTTGGTTTGAGAGGTTGGGCTTTAAAGAGGTTGGGCTTTTGAGGGGTTGGACTTTGAGAGGTTGGACTTTGAGGGGTTGGGCTTTGAGAGGTGGGGCTTTTGTGTCGGGGGGGGGGGGGGTCATTTTGTGCCTGTGTGTGTAGGGATGGGTCATGCCTGATCTGAATACTTTTGTTGGAGGGAGGGGGACTTTGTGTGGATGGGTGAGGCAGAGGAGGGGAAAGATTTTGGGAAGAGGGTAACTTTCAAAAAGCAGGCGGTATCTTCTGAGTTGGCAGTACATGTTCGCGTGATGAGTTATCTTTTGTGTTAAAGTCTTATGTGCGGAGGCAGGTGTGGGGAAGTTGTGTGTAGAGAGAATAGGCCATTTTTTTGTGGGATTATTTTTAATGGTCTATATCATTCAAGACCAGTGTCAGTCTAGCGTGGATCTATATTAGGTAGAAGCGTTCTTGGAACATATAAATGAAACTTAATGAGTATCGAAAGTTAATATTTTAAATATAGTCAAAGATGGTTTTATAAAAATACAGCTTAAGTCTTGTTGGTCGCTAGTTAGTTTAAAAACACGGCTGAACACAAATTGTTTTTAATTTTACAGGATACGGAGCCTTAGCTATTTGAATGAGCGCTCATAACTGTTCGTAAACTAGGTCCAGAATTTATTTTTAAATAGAAATAGGCCTACACTAGGCATATAAGCATTGGGCTACAAGCAGTAAGTTGTTAAATTTAGTGAGAAATAAATTCCAATTTTCCCGCAAAGAATAAAAATTTAAAATTAAATAAAAGCTACGAATTTAATTGTATAAAATTTGGTTGTGATTTAGACGCGAAGACACAGCTAGTTGTTAAAGGGGGGTAATTTATTGCCTTGTTTAATTAATTAACAAGTAATTAATATTTGTGTCGTCTGCAGACAAGTACTACGTCTCAGTAGACCAGCGCTACAAAGACACCAAGGACGCCTACGTGTTTGCACAGAGTCTGTAAGTCGCTACATTCGAATTTGACGTGCATTGTTTGGGTGTCTTTTGTGTGGTCTTACCAGCCTGTTTTGTCCGATAATTTCTCTTTATGTTTCTGTTGTGCGTACGTCCTTGTTGTCTGTCAGAGTGTGGACATCAGATTAAGTGTTTTTTTGAGAAGCTGTGTGTGTGTGTGTGGGGGGGGGGGGGGGGGGGTGGGGGTTGCTGTGTGTTAGCTATAAGGTTGACTAGCTAGCGTTTTTTTTATTGCAAAATGTATGGAGTGTAGCAAGTAGAGATTTTTACCCCCCCCCCCATCTATAAAAGAATAAAATTAAAATAACTTTCCCTGTCTAATAATTTTGATAGGAATTGGTTTTTAAATGACATCATGGGTATTTCAAATGACATTTTTATTTTTCAACTTTTAGGTTGAACTATGCTGAGGTCGTTTTTAACATTGTCACTATTGTCATGGTAAGTGTGGGGTTTAGTTTTTCTTTAAGTGAAACATTGGTAGCTGTGTCCTACTGTTGGTGGTGGGGTGTTGTCAATGTGTTGCTGATGGGGGTGGATGTGTTAATGTTGGGATGTGTGTTGTATGGTGTATGTGCTGTGGGGGTTGATTTGTTAGGGATGTGCGTATGTGGTCTGTTTGACGTGGTGGATGTGTTGTTTGCATTGCTGTTGTTGTGATGTTTGCTCGGATGGTGTGATGTTTGCTCAGATAATGTGATGTTTGCTTGGGTGTTGTGATGTTTGCTCGGATGATGTGATGTTTGCTCAGATGGTGTGATGTTTGCTCAGATAATGTGATGTTTGCTCAGATGATGTGATGTTTGCTCAGATGATGTGATGTTTGCTCGGACAATGTGAGGTTTGCTCAGATGATGTGATGTTTGCTTGGGTGTTGTGATGTTTGCTTGGATGGTGTGATGTTTGCTTGGAAGATGGTGTGTGCTGTTGATGTGTCATAACACTATGCTTCTGCCTCACCTGTGTCCCCTCCCCCCTCAGCACTACGCCCAGTCCCGCCACACCGCCACCACGGCCTTCACCGTCAGCGTGATGACCTTCTGGAAGACGGTGCTCTACTTCCTCATGTTCAGCGAGTTCTGCACGGGTGGGGAGTACCGACAGGGCAACACCGCCCTGGAGGAGATCGCTCTGGTCGTCATCCCCAATGTCATCTGGGTCATCGTGCCCTTGTATGTCATGTACTCACTGTGGGACCAGCTGACCCCCAGCGGCCAGGCAAGTGTCAAGACAGCCTTGACCTCCAATGGTAAACAAATGGGGACAAGTCACGTGACTTATTCGAGTTACATGACACACACAACTGCCCATGAAAATGGCGTCGAAACCAGAAAAGCTAAGTAATATTAATAAGAAAATAACATAACTTGTCCCTTAAGCACCTACTGCAAATTGTTGTGACATGTAAGATTTCAATAATTAAAAAAACTAACAGTAAGTGAATATTCACTTAACATGTAGCTTATAATGCTAAGATTACCACATAGAGCAGCCTATTTATAATAAATAAATAGTTTATTATACATACGGTAAAGAATAAAGAATGGTACACAAGGTTAATTAGATGTACTGGTCAATGACAACAAAGTACTTGCCACAATTAGACATTATTTGGCTATAATTTCTGATGCTGAAAGATTTCGTTCGAAATTTTTATTTCAAACTTAGGCTTTGTTATGCACTACAAACTTGATATTTTATTTGAACACTTTTTTGATGTAATCCTTTTACAAATGTTCAAAATTTTTACCTGCTATGTAATATATACAATGTCAATGTATGCAAATGTCATTCTAGTAATATCATTTTTACAAGTTGTCGCCTAGATAAAATGTTATCTTGGATAAAATGTCATTGCATTACTGACATCATTGAATGTCATTCAGCTTGGGTGAGGCTCCTGAATTGTCTTTATCATAGAGACTGCATGACGTGGCCCACATCCAATCCATCTTTACACTTCTCTTTTTTAACAAGAAATACATATGTCTGAAATTACGACTAAAAAAAGGAAAAAATTACTGAATCCAATTTTTATAAATACATTTATACAAATCTTAATGTGGACTGTGTCTACACCCAATAACTGGTGTTTAGACAAGTTGTCTCCCATCAGATACATCTACTACCATCTATATCACCCAGCCTGTGTCAACTGTTCTAAATGTGTTTACAAATGTTTATCACTTATGTTGTACTAACACTTGTGTTTATTTGATTTTACAATATTTTTTTCCTTTGTTATGCTGGTGTTCATATATACATTTTTCTATTTAATGATTGAGTTTTGTATCAATAAAATTTATAAAAAATACAAGTGTTGTATTAAAATGTCGCAGGTTACTGACTGTTTGCAAGAGTATACAACTGTTTCATCTGAACAAAGTTATAATTGTATTATTTGAATTTGAAGCTGGTTATATATTTATCCCACTCTCTGTAAACAGATGCTGTGCAATTTCTTGAGACTAGGATTAGAATGTCATGAAAAGGGAATCAGGGTGTAGACATTTCTTGGAATAATTCCAGGATGGTTTATTTCAAATGAAAAACATTAAAAATAAAGCAAAGTACATTTATCTTTTATTGTCAAATCCAAAATCTTTGGCTAGGCTTTGTACTTTGTAGGTACATTTTACTGGTAATCCTTTTTCTGGCCAGATAAACATACAATTTTCTGGCAAAAATAATTTTTCCAACCAGCTAAAATTACATTTTCTAACCAAACTTTGCTACAAATGACAGGCCCATGCATCTACCAGTCTCTTAAAAAAATTTACACTAAAATGTTTTTAAATTCTTTTAATTTATTACACCATACGTACCAGATAGCCTAAACACATGTAGCCTCACTTGCCAGATTGTTCAATACGCGTTTACCACAAGCACATACATACTTGTTGCGTATCCTCAAACAAATACTAAAATAACATCACTTTAAAACAATAGAGCTAAATTAATTTTGGCAAACTTATGATAGCCACTACGTGATGAGCTCCTTGCCCAAATAGATTTGTTATAAACTCAAATAGTCTAAAGGCATTTGGAGAACTATTTGGCACTGGTTATCAACACCTCATGAACATGCATTGATGGACATTTGACATTTGCTGTACATGACATTAGTGTCATATACATAATGACACGCGTAACTGAACTATGATAGTCATGACATTTTCAGGACAGAATACAGAATATTTCATTATTCAACAGTGACGTGAATATGACATTCATTGATTGGGTGTGACATCTGTGGGATAATGTCAGGACAGTTATATGACACACAACACATACTGGAGAGGTTAAAAGCTTCTCTTACCTCCCCTTATATCTCATTTTTATCAACATAAATACTGCAGAATGAACAGATTAAAAAAATACCAGGTTTATCAACAATACAAATACTGCAGAACAGACACAAAATATACCAGGTTTATCAACAAATACAAATACTGCAGGAAAAAAACATAAAATGACAAGTTTATCAATACAATTATAAATACCCCAGTGAAAAATACATAAAATTCACAGTTTATTGTAATGCCAATAATACAAGATTGTAGAGGAAAATAGTTTTGTGTAATTTGTTCCGGTCAAAATCAGAAGTCTGGTCTACAAGCAGTGAGGCAGGCCATGGAAGAGAAAACACACTAAGGGGTAAAATTATCAATATAACATATAACGGAGGGGCCTCTATCAATGAGACCAGGGTCTAAAAAAAATGAAACCTTTTGAGATGATGGTCTCTGGGACCACTATCTGTGTGAGACTTTAATTACTGTAAGACCACAATCATTGTAAGACCACAATCATCATAAAACCACAATTATTGTGTAACCACAATAAGTGTAAGGCCACAATCATTGTAAGATCACAATCATTGTAAGACCACAATCTTTGTTAGCCACAATCATCATAAAACCACAATTATTGTGTGACCACAATAAGTGTAAGATCACAATCATTGTAAGATCACAATCATTGTAAGATCACAATCATTGTGTGACCACAATCTTTGTTAGGTCACAATCCTTGTAAAGCCACAATTATTGAGTGACCACAATCATTGTAAGACCCCAATGATTGTAAGACCCCAATGTAAAACCTTATGTCCTATGTCCAATCAATCGTTTGGAATGTCTTACTGGCCTGTTGATGATCACCAACTGACCAGCAAATGACCAGCATAAAATATTTTGAGCTCCAACAAAATGGAAAATTGTCAATACCTTAACACTGCAAACATGGTCAAGTTATAGGCTAAATAATTCAATGAAATCACATTGTAAAACCAAGTTTGTCACCAGATTTTGTTCTTAGTGTATTGGGAGTGAGATTCTGTATGAGATGTGGAGTAATGGAACAAGGGTAGAATACAATGGTAGATCAGTATAGTCTAGAGTACTGGTACAACAGTATAGTCTAGAGTATAATGGTACAACAGTATAGTCTAGAGTATAATGGTACAACAATATAGTCTAGAGCAAAATGGTGCAACAGTATAGTCTAGAGTAAAGTGATACACCAGTATAGTCTAGAGTAAAGTGATACAACAGTATAGTCTAGAGTTTAATGGTACAAAAGTAGTCTAGAGTATAATGGTACAACAGTATAGTCTAGAGTATAATGGTACAACAGTATAGTCTAGAGTATAATGGTAAAACAGTATAGTCTAGAGTATAATGGTACAACAATATAGAGTATATTGGTACACGAGTATAGTCTAGAGTAGTGGTACAACAGTATAGTCTAGAGTAGTACAAGAGTTTCTTGTATAAAAGCTGTACCAACTTAAATCTAATAACAACTTCATAAAATAAATCCAAGTTTTAAAATAAATTGAGATTACAATTAGCTAATTTTAAATTGTAGAGTCATATAAAAGATAATTCCAGTAAAAGAAAAGTTACTTAACACTTATAAAATACTTTTTTGATAAGTGGGTTAGAAAATTAAAATAAAAAGCTTTAATTCAGATCCATTCAATGGTATAACAAGAGAAGTTCATTATTGCACATAAATATTTGTAGAACGACCACGGAATTTAAGAGCATGTATATCACTTACTTTTTAGAGTAACTCAAATTTAAATCCGGTTTCACAAAATAAATAAATATATGTTTCTACCCATACCCTTATCAAATAAATATATTAAATTCTTTGGTCATTAAATTGTTAATTAAAATACATGTTTTGAATTTTATTTTCCCACAATAACCACAGATCAGAAATATATTAAGGTTTACAAACTTTAGTTTTCTCCCCTTAAATGTTTTAGTGCTTCATGTAACAGCATTGGTGTTCAGCTGATCTCCCCTGACAGATTAACATCCATTAGGTTGGGTGGTCTACATTGACTGTAGAGAAAACTTGAACATACATTATTGTGAAAGACTATCACAAATGTAAATATCAAGGGAACAAACTTTGCAAAATTTGTACAAAAATAAACACTAGGGATGGTAATTATTGATATGCAGCAATAAAATGGTGAAGTTGAAAACTTCCACTGCAAAACAAAAAGGCAACTTAAATCACAATATTGAGAGAAAAAAAAATTTAAAATAAATCTCTTAGCCTAGGAACAAAGCATTGAATCATTCATGATCTGACATAGTCACAAATATCATCATGCAGAACTACTAAAGTATAAACTGTTAAGTTGATTCACATAACACAATTTTTTTTTGGCTAAACATTAAATTATCTAATTAATGTATTGACAGTTGATTCAATTAACACATTTTTAGACTCTACATACACACTGTGTATTTAATTAATGAAATAATGGTTCAATTAACACATTTTCTAAACTATACATACAAAGTGTGATGTAATGACAGTATTACAACTGGAATATCATCCATACATAGGCACTAGTGAATCCATGGCTCACCCAGCCAGGATACGGATACATGTGAGATTTCTTTTTATAGTATTTTTTAAAATAACAAAAACTGGTTATCTTAAACCCTCACCATCCAAATTTTAATCTGTAAAAGTTGGGTTTGATTTAGTTTTTAGACTATCACATGGCATCAAGCCAAATATTTACAATTTAAACTTAAATTTTATATATAACAATATTTAATATAAAATATGACACACACAAAGAATCATATGAAGTTATAATTTGGTACCGACTTAATTATTGCCATTTAAATCCCAGTTGTATTAACTTCAAGTGACTTGAGAGAAGATATAGTTGGGACAATAAATTTCAACATAATCTCAACACTGCTAAATCTGGATATAACAATCTTTCAGCTGGAAGAGGGGGTTAAAATCTGAACACTTAGCCGTAGAGTGAATCATTCAAGAAAGGTTAGCTAAAGCATTACACTGACTGTTTTCATTCAAGTTTTAGGTGTTGTTTGTTTTCACATTGGAAGTCATGTGGTCCCAACTACCTGATAAGCCAATCACAGATGTCCTTAAAACCTGGTCAACCAATCACAACTTAGGTTTTAACCTGTCACATGTGCTCAAATCAGCCAATCACAGTTGTCCTTGAGGCTCAGTTGATAAATCACAAGGTTGATAAATAACCTGATAGCAAGTCACATGGTGTATAACCATCCAATGGTAGTTGTCCTCTCAACAAAGTCAACCAATCCTAGCTGTTGACACAGAATTCTATCTGCTGACATTCGGTCTGTCTGGACAGCTGGATGTAGGGGACTGTTGGACAACAACTTTAACAGTGCGTCTCCTCTCTTCAGGGGTCAGGGGGTTGCTGGGCTGGTGGCTACTGGCCGAGTTGGAAATACTTCTGGAAGGATAGGATTCAGTGGCGCCCGATGCTGTGGTGGTCAGCAGCTGAGATGGGGCACCAACCCCTGGGGAGGACACGGAGACATGGGAGGGGGTCTTTGGTTCCACGGCAGCCACACAAGTGGACGCTGATGGCGTCTCCTGCCCCAGGGTGAGGTTCAAGGATGGACCTGGTACGGGGATGTTTGAGACATGGTTGGAAGGTGGCGCCGACACTGAAACATTCTTTGATGGTTTAATTAGTTCAGGTTCATTAGGCAATGAACCTGTCTGTGTGGAGTTTGTATTCGTTAAGTTTGACGAGGTTGATTTCTGTGGAGAGGAACTTGGAAGATGCGTCTCAAGATCTGTCTGCGTTGCCGTCGACAACACCATCCGCATGACAGGCGAGGACGACTCCGGCATGGGGGGTAGGGTCAGGTTGAGCTGCTGCAGGGCCTCCCGTGGGATCAGCTTGCGCAGGATGGCCACGGCCTGCAGGAGGGCGCCTCGCTCCAGCTCCAGGGTTCTGATGTGTGACTTGAGCTTCTCTTGCTCTATCTCGTGGGTGTGGACGCTCAGCTCGTGACTGCGTTGTTGTGACTGGGTGTGCTGTCATGTGAAAAAATAATTATTTTTATTTTTTTTATGCAAAGGATAATAAATGTATTAAAACAATTGTAGCCAAAATTTTTGTAAATAAGATCTTATTTCTGTTTGAATAAAACAATAAATAGCTTTTAAATCCAACTATAATACTATTATTTCTCATGCACTGGATGAATATTGATTTAAAACAGTTTTCACCATCCACTCTATAAACATCCTATCTTTTTGCTGTCATCAAATACCCTACCCCATAGTATGTGATATTTTTTGCATCAGTTTGAATACAAGATTTATGTTCCACACATGTATTCCACTACAGGGGTATATTAAATATATGATTGATAGCCACAATAACTAAACACCAATATTTGATCGACATAAATTTCAAATGTATATGTTTAGATATTTTAAAGAATTGTTGGATAACATGCTTTAAATTTATTTTAGAAAGTCAACTATGAGGAGCTCGGTTCTGTTAAGTTATAGGATAACTAGATTAAAATTTATTTTTAAAAGTCAACATCAAGGAACGAAACAAACTTGTAGTCTCTCTAGCAGCTCAATGTTTTGGTTCTTGAGAGCTTAGTTCTGTTGCTCTATTAAATTAGAGGATAACTAGCTTAAGAATAACTTAAAAAGTCAACAGCAAGGAAATGAAACAAACTTGTAGTCTCTCCAGCAGCTCAATGTTTTGGATCTTGAGAGCTTAGTTCTGTTGCTCTATTAAATAAGAGGATAACTAGCTTAAGAATAATTTAAAAAGTCAACATCAAGGAACGAAACAAACTTGTAGTCTCTCTAGCAGCTCAATGTTTTGGTTCTTGAGAGCTTAGTTCTGTTGCTCTATTAAATAAGAGGATAACTAGCTTAAGAATAACTTAAAAATTCAACAGCAAGGAACGAAACAAACTTGTAGTCTCTCTAGCAGCTCAATGTTTTGGTTCTTGTGAGCTTAGTTATGTTGCTCTATTAAATAAGAGGATAACTAGCTTAAGAATAACTTAAAAAGTCAACAGCAAGGAAATGAAACAAACTTGTAGTCTCTCCAGCAGCTCAATGTTTTGGATCTTGAGAGCTTAGTTCTGTTGCTCTATTAAATAAGAGGATAACTAGCTTAAGAATAATTTAAAAAGTCAACATCAAGGAATGAAACAAACTTGTAGTCTCTCTAGCAGCTCAATGTTTTGGTTCTTGTGAGCTTAGTTATGTTGCTCTATTAAATAAGAGGATAACTAGCTTAAGAATAACTTAAAAAGTCATCGTAAAGGAACGAAACAAACTTGTAGTCTCTCTAGCAGCTCAATGTTTTGGTTCTTGAGAGCTTAGTTCTGTTGCTATTAGAGGATAACTAGCTTAAGAATAACTTAAAAAGTCAACATCAAGGAAATGAAACAAACTTGTAGTCTCTCTAGCAGCTCAATGTTTTGGTTCTTGAGAGCCCTGTTCTGCTGCTCCACGCGGTACATCATCTCAATGTCAATAGACGACCTCCTGCGCTCCACCAGTCTGGAGGGTCTGTCTGAGACTGCGGGCTGGCTCTTGCTGTGCTGGTACAGTCTGGCGCTGTGGACGTCGTGGCCAGGTGAGAAGGTCATCTCCTCACTGAGGACGTGGTACTCCACCTCGTAGGCCTGGAGCTCTTTGCTGATGTCCAGTTCAAAGGCCTGTAGGAAAAACATTACAAACCAATCAAGTTTGGATTCTCAGATACATATCCTGATATTTCTTTAAAAAAAAAATTCTAGCCAGCGTCAATGGATTTTTAATTTTATTTTAAAAATAACAGATTGTCTCGATGATAAGTACATTTAAAATAAACTTTCTGAAATTGTTTTAATTTTGTTTTAAGACTTCTGACCTGGTTATGTGTGGGTCCGTGCACTGACCTGCTTAGATGTGGGTCAACAGGCTGACCTAATTACATGTGGGTCCAGGGACTGACCTGGTTAGAGTCCAGGGACTAACCTGGTTACATGTGGGTCGACAGACTGACCTAGTTACATGTGGGTCAACAGACTGACCTGGTTACCTGAGGGTCAACAGACTGACTCAGTTACATGTGGGTCCAGGTACTGACCTGCTTAGATATAGGTCAACAGAGTGACCTGGTTTCGTGTGGGTCAACAGACTGACCTAGTTACATGTGGGTCAAAAGACTGACCTGGTTACATGTGGGTCAACAGACTGACCTAGTTACATGTGGGTCAAAAGACTGACCTATTAGATGTGGGTCAACAGACTGACCTAGTTACATGTGGGTCAACAGACTGACCTATTACATGTGGGTCATCAGACTGACCTAGTTACATGTGGGTCCTAGGACTGACCTAGCTACATGTGGGTCCAGGGACTGACCTGGTTACGTGTGGGTCATCAGACTGACCTGGTTACATGTGGGTCAACAAACTGACCTGGTTACATGTGGGTCAACAGACTGACCTGTTTAGATGTAGGTCAACAGACTGACCCAGTTACATGTGGGTCAACAGACTGAACTGGTTACATGTGGGTCAACAGACTGACCTGGTTACATATAGGTCAACAGACTGAGCTGGTTACATGTGGGTCAACAGACTGACCTAGTTACATGTGGGTCCAGGGACTGACCTGGTTACATGTGGGTCAACAAACTGACCTGGTTACATGTGGGTCAACAGACTGACCTGTTTAGATGTAGGTCAACAGACTGACCCAGTTACATGTGGGTCAACAGACTGAACTGGTTACATGTGGGTCAACAGACTGACCTGGTTACATATAGGTCAACAGACTGAGCTGGTTACATGTGGGTCAACAGACTGACCTAGTTACATGTGGGTCCAGGGACTGACCTGGTAACATGTGGGTCAAGGGACTGACCTAGTTATGTGGGTCAACAAACTGACCTGGTTTATAATGCGCTCCATCTGCACCTGGACCATCTCAGGCAGGGTTGTCTTAAGGAAGTCGACCACAGACTCAAACGAGTCACACTGCAGGATCAGAGCCCTGTGGTTGCCAATCAACATTAAGGCCACTTTAAAGAGGGCATCAATCCCCTGGACAAACAACATGTCTGTAGAACAAAAATAGAAATATACAATCAACATTAAGGCCATTTTAAAGAGGGCATCAATCCCCTGGACAAACAACATGTCTGTAGAACAAAAATAGAAATATACAATCAACATTAAGGTCACTTTAAAGAGGGCATCAATCCCCTGGACAAACAACATGTCTGTAGAGCAAAAATAGAAATATACAATCAACATTAAGGCCATTTTAAAGAGGGCATCAATCCCCTGGACAAACAACATGTCTGTAGAACAAAAATAGAAACATACAATCAACATTAAGGCCACTTTAAAGAGGGCATCAATCCCCTGGACAAACAACATGTCTGTAGAACAAAAATAGAAATATACAATCAACATTAAGGCCACTTTAAAGAGGGCATCAATCCCCTGGACAAACAACATGTCTGTAGAACAAAAATAGAAACATACAATCAACATTAAGGCCACTTTAAAGATGGCATCAATCCCCTGGACAAACAACATGTCTGTAGAACAAAAATAGAAATATACATTACAATTTCTCAAACATCTGACTGTAGGAAATTGGTAGCTGTATCAAATGAAAGAGCAAGCACTTATAATGCCTCCAGTGAGTTCTAGAATACCACTGTACTGATGTGTACAGAAAGGTGGCTGCCCGTCAAGATAAAGTTTTCAGACTTTCAAAAAAATTTGGTCGGCATAAAAATATTTTCCTCAAATTAAAAAAAAAACAGCTCTCCTTAAAAATGCAGAGAAGTGTGTGTACTTTAGTTAGGAAAGTGACGGAAGCTGCATTGTGCAATGGACATGCAAGACTATCACATCCTAGTGTCATAAAAAACAGACAAATTCTGCTTCAGTAGCCCATCAGGTTAAACAACAGCAAACGTAACAAGACTAATTTCAAAGAACAAACCAGCAAACATAAACAAATTACAAAACTTTCAACACTGTATCACTTCTTCTTTACTGTGTGTCCACCCAGAAACTAATTGAGTTTATGGCATAATTTGTTGATACAGACTTCCTTTTTAAAAATGTTAACAAAACCCCAGCCCCCACCATAAACCCTGGCCACAAAAGCCCAGCACCTACCAAAAACCCTGGCCACAAAGCCCAGGGGAAACTGTGAGGCAAACAGTGTGAGGAACCAGGGGGCCGCGTACAAGGTTGGGGAGATCTCGTGGTTCTCAAAGTGTTCATACACGTCCTTGTAGTGGTCATGTAGGAGTCTGGTCAGCTGGTACAGCTTGATCTGGGGGAATCAATCAATCAATAATCAATCAGTCAATCAACAATCTATAAGCTAAATGAAACCAATAGAATCTATCAATTCAATTAGTTAAATGTATCTAAACAAGAGGCAATATGTCATAGTACTGATCACACTTTCTATTCATATGCCGAGGTCATAAAAACAGGTGAACTCTACTTCATCTGCCCCATGGACCATTAGGTTTTTTAGCAGTAGTAGCACACATCCCAAATCAGAACCCTCTGTTATAGGTGTCTGGTGACCAAAGGTGATCACATGCATCCACACATAAACAGCAACACGCACAAACTAGTCTAAAGCATAGATAGTAAAAACTTGGCAAGTTTTCCTTTGCTAAAAATCTAAAGGTTTAATAAACTGGAAGAAAAGTAATTTTATTTTTCTTCTTCTTTGTTCTTAATTTTTAGTGTTGGATGGTATCCCATCCAACACAATTAAGTATACGTTTCAACTGGTTATGCGCCATTGAGGCCATTGATTTTGGAATTGTCTCTCCTAGAGGAGTGGCTGTCCCCAGTTAACAAGCCTGATCTACCAGAGGGTTTGAACTCGAAACTTTTTGGTTTAGCGATCATGAGCTTTACCAATTTGACCACTCCGACCCCCAAAAGTAATTTAATTTACCTGTAAAACCTTGACGTTTGGCTAAATAATGATTCTTACCTGCAATGCCATCATGTTTGGTCTGAACTGTTTACGAAGGCCAAGGTCGTACATGATGTACTTGAGTACATGGAAAGCTGATATCTCTTCCATCTGGTGTTAGATGAGACAACAAGGTTAAACACTTACAGCAGGACAATACATCAACATTCAACGATCCTCACATTTTACTTTTTACTACACTAAATGCTCAATTTAAAAAGGTTAGAGTTCAATGTAAAGAAGTTAAAGTTCAACATCAAGAGGTTAAAGTTCAACGTAAAGAGGTTAAAGACTCAAAGTCAAGAGGTTAAAGACTCAATGTCAAGAGGTTAAAGTTTGACGTCAAGAGGTTAAAGTTCAACATCAAGAGGTTAAAGTTCAATGCCAAGAGGTTAAAGTTCAACGTCAAGAGGTTAAAGTTCAATTGTCAAAAGGTTAAAGTTCAACGTCAAGAGGTTAAAAACACAACGTCAAGACGAAAAGTTCAAGATCAAGCTGAAGGTTACATACATGCATGAGCAGCATGCCCACAATGAAGGAGAGTCCCTGGCAGTAGCCCACTTCAGTGTCCAGCAGACTGTAGGCCTTCAGCAGGTTAAACAACTCCAGTTGACCTGGGCCTAGGGCCTTGGCGAAGTAGGGGTGGCAGGGGAAGGTGCGGCCTAGGGGAGAATGAGTAGAAATGATGTTTGTATGGGCATTTGTTTGTATGGGTATTTGTTTATATGTTTGTATGGGCATTTGTTTGTATGTTTGTATGGGTATTTTTTGTATGCGTTGTATATATGTTTATATATGATTAGGTCTGTAGGGTGATGTCACTCACCTAGGCCAATGAGTAAAGCTTATTGATGTGTGGTCACTCACAAGGTCAATGAGTGTTCACTCACCTAGGTCAATGTGTGGTCTCTCACCTAAGCTAATGAGTGCTCACTCACCTAGGTCAATGTGTGGTCTCTCACCTAAGCTAATGAGTGCTCACTCACCTAGGTCAATGTGTGGTCTCTCACCTAAACTAATGAGTGCTCACTCAGCTAGGTCAATGTGTGGTCACTCACCTAGGTCAATGTGTGGTCACTCACCTAGGTCAATGTGGTCACTCACCTAGATCAATGAGTATAGCATGTTGATGTGTGGTCACTCACCTAGGTCAATGAGTATAGCATGTTGATGTGTGGTCACTCACCTAGGTCAATGTGTGGTCACTCACCTAGGTCAATGTGGTCACTCACCTAGATCAATGAGTATAGCATGTTGATGTGTGGTCACTCACCTAGGTCAATGAGTATAGCATGTTGATGTGTGGTCACTCACCTAGGTCAATGTGGTCACTCACCTAGATCAATGAGTATAGCATGTTGATGTGTGGTCACTCACCTAAGTCAATGAGTATAGCATGTTGATGTGTGGTCACTCACCTAAGTCAATGAGTATAGCATGTTGATGTGTGGTCACTCACCTAGGTCAATGTGTACTCACCTAGGTCAATGAGTATAGCATGTTGATGTGTGGTCACTCACCTAGGTCAATGTGGTCACTCACCTAGATCAATGAGTATAGCATGTTGATGTGTGGTCACTCACCTAAGTCAATGAGTATAGCATGTTGATGTGTGGTCACTCACCTAAGTCAATGAGTATAGCATGTTGATGTGTGGTCACTCACCTAGGTCAATGTGTACTCACCTAGGTCAATGAGTATAGCATGTTGATGTGTGGTCAGCTGTTTCAGCAGATCCTCATAATCAGCACTGGTGCAGCCGCTGTCCGGCACGGTGCTGCTCATCTGTCTCTGCTGCATCAAGAACAGCCATATCTGTCCCCTCAGTGTCCGCGGAACACCTGGAAATATTTCATCTGTTAGACCCCAACAAAATTTGTTTAAAACGCAACTCGACAGTTAATAGAACACGTAGATAGGGTTTTTTCTGTTTTGTGTTCATAGGATGGAATAGTGCACAGCAAGATGGACAGACAAAAAATTCCAAACACAAATTTAGGTTTGTTTCTTTGACATTTGGTTCTTCTTCTTCATCTACTTTCTTAATTTTTAGCATTGGAAGGGATCCCCTCCAACACAATTAAGGATACGTGTCAACTGGTTATGCGCCATTGAGGCCATTGACTCAGATTTCATTCTTCTTTTCTGTTTGGATTTGCCTCCCATAGCCTTTGTCCAACCAGGAATAAACTACAAGGCAGCAGTTGTTTGATTTTGGAGTTGTCTCTCCTAGACGAGTGGCTGTCCCCAGCTAACGAGCCTCATCTGCCCGAGCATTCGAAATCGAGACTTTTGGTTTTACAACCATGAGCTTTACCGACTCGACCACGCTGACATTTGGTTAATACAATAGAAGACACTATAGAAGACACTATACTAGACACCAGTGGCGTAGCCAGAGTCGTCTCAAGGGGGGGTTCCAATTTTTACCCGGGGACAAGGTTTTGATTTGCACCCCCCCCCCCTAAAACTTTCGATTTGCACCACCCCTCATACTTTATATATATACCGAGGGGTCTATGGGGGGGGGGGGGGGGATTATGACATTAATCATTAATAAAGTTAAACAAATATTTTAAACAAGATTAAATAATGGACAGACACTTCTACATTCTAATAAAGTAACTTCCTTACAAAATACTCATCACATTATCATAATCTTGTGTTGAAAATAAAATATATTTAAATATTAAAAACCTCAAGGGGTAATCAAAATGAATGTTTCATGCGAAAAATTTCATTCCCATAAACAATTAGGGCCATTCAAGAGTAAAATGCATCAACCTTTTTTGACATAGTCCAGGAGTTTGACCATGGGAATGGCCTTCTCATCCTCCCCTATATCCCCATCTCTCCCCTCATCCCCATGCAGGGACAGCATCTGCTCCCACACTGTAGTGATCTCTTTCAAGCAGGGAGTCAACTCTTGGTAGTCCAACTTTCTGCTGACAGTTGCTCCCCCTTCCTCCTGCCGAGCTGGGAAAACATCAAAGAGAAACACAAAATTGTACATTAAAAGAGTGCAATTAAAAGTTAATTTTAAAAGATAACAAAATAAAATCTAAGCACTGAAAAATTCCTAAAATATTACTCAGTGTTTACAAATTTCTAGTAAAATATAAAAACCTATCATAAAATAATTCATTTTTGCTAACAAGTAAACAATAATATAACTAACAGAAATTAAACTAAGCTTCTTTAAAATTCAATCTAATCCATTCATAAGTAGAAATGAAAGAAAACTACAAGCTATAAAAGGAAACGAATCAAATAACAGAATATTATTTTGCCTTATGCATAATGAATGGATAAAACTTATTCGACAACTAAAACTCTGCCTGTACTAAATTCTGTGGTTCCAACAGCTCAAAATAAATCCCAGATACAGTTTTAGCAATAAGGTATAGAAATATTTATTTATTTTTGGTGAAAGTTTTTTTCCTGTCAACTTGCATTGATCACAAATTCAGATGTAAACATGTTTTCTCAGTGTGTCCCATAAGACTTTTGTTCTAAAACTTCAAAATATATTTTTTTGCCAAAGAAGCTCAGCGAAATAACAAATAAATAATGCTACACATATTATTATTAAGCATGACTGAAACTTAACAGAATGTTTCATTCAAAATTTTTAAAGAATTAGCGTTATTAAAATTCAGCCTTAATTCGAACATGCATCTTCAGTAACAATATTAATTAAATTACAATTCAATTTGTATTCAAAATTGAATAATTGAAAGCCAATTTAAAATATTAGCATACAAACATTGGAAGAATTTAAGTCACATAGCTTTCTGTATTGGCAGTGTAAGGTACATTCAACTACTGTTAAGGTGTGAAGCAAACTAGTTCCCAGAAGCCAGTGGTAGATTTCAGCAGTAGAAAAACCTAATACATAGAAGCTGGCCTCAAGCCTAAATTACACAACAAATGTATAAGCCAGGGCTGCTGAGAAATTTGGTCTGGCCACAATTTCATTCAGTGTTTCTTCCAGACACTTGAAATTTTTTGGGGGGGAGGGGGTAGACTTTTTTTTTAGGAGGGGCGAGGATGCCTGGAAGAAACTCTGATTTCATTGCACTCTAGCCACCCTTGATTAAACTTTAGCCACAAATCTAAAAAAAATCTGGGCACTCCTCCATTAAACTCTAGCCATCTTTTAATTAAGGTCTGGCCACCCCTTCTAAAAATTCTGGCAACCCTTACATTTACCTCCCTTTACAACTGTGGCCAAAAAAAACTAGCCACCATGATACAGACTCAGCTAACTATCTTGTAATACCATTAAAAAAGCTTGAAGCACCCTGGACTAAATAGCCCTCAAACAGCCCTGTATTAAAGGAGTGCTAAAAGCTAAAAATAAATAAGATGGATTAAAAAAATATACACATATGCCAAGTTAGATTACTAATCTATACCAAATAAAGCGACAGATTTTATAAAAGAAAAATGATTAAGGAAGAAATTGATGTGTACAATTTTGTATTTGGTTATTTTTTAAAATAATTAAATATTATTAGTATATATCATTAGTAAATGTTATTAGTAAATTCACAACCCTTAGTTTTCAAAAAGTTTTCAGCTAAATTCTGTCCAAACTTTATAAGTTGATCTATGGGCATGAAGGCAACAGAAGTGATTGACTGGTGGGTTTCAACAAGAACTGGCTTGTCATGACTAAAAAAACGTCATTATTATGAAATAACTTTTCTGTTGCCTTCAAAGACTTTGGAATTAAAATATCGTTTGAAACAAAAAGGGGATGTGAATTTTTTTAGAGAAAACTGTCTGCAAGTTGTTATATGATCTGCATGCGTAATCCTTGAGTAACATGCATTTATTATGTTTAAGGTGTTATGGATTAAAAAATTATTAATGATCTTCAGTGTTCATGCAGTTAATTCTTACTGCGGATGAACCCTACAATGTTAAATGTAGTATACATATATTTTTTTTTTGCACTCTCTATAAGCATTGTACATCTACATAGCAGATTAAGCGTTATTGTGTTAAGTATAATGTTGATTGTAAAGGAAGTTTTTAATGTAAATTTGGAAGGATAAGAACACTGTCAAAAGATCTAGAGGAAAAAAACATTAAAAATGTAAAAAAAAATATTGTCCCCCTTTTAATAAACCACTGATTTTAAAAGAAAATCAATTTGATCTAGGAAAAAATAAAAAAAATAAAAATGAATTTTAACTGATAAAGCTGTTACGTTTTTTTTTTTAATTTATGCAAAAGTTACTATTTTTATTTTTAATTCAAGAGAAGGTATTTCTGTGGAATATTTTTTTCTTTAAAAGAGGGACAGAGAATCTCTACCATTTCTACTTCCACCATATTTAGTCTTACCGCGAAATACTACCACAGAATGGCTTCCATAAAAGATGAAATATTCTAGCAGGGCCGCCAGGGTAGAAAAGTTTGTTAAAAAAGGTAGCAAAGTAACTTGGTATAGCAAATTAAAAATTAAAAAACTCAAATAGAAATCTTTCATACTGAAAGCTCTACGTTTTCATTCTATGAAACATCCTTCCCAAAAACTTTTTTTAATGACATACACTAACAATGAGAAACCAAAACTACAAGAAATATATTTCTATACACATTTTAAAAAGCCAGAATTATTTTGTTTCTACTTTTATCCCCCCAAAAAACATCTAGTACAAGTAAGCAAATGTAGGCTAGTCCAACAATAAACATACAGGTCATGCAGTTAAATAATTTAGTTTTAAAAAAGCTCTTTAGATTTAAAAGTTTAAATGTAGACCACTAGCCAACCAATGTCTGTAGGCTGCGACCAATATTTCAGCCAGATACAACTACCACAGTAAACACCTATCACAGTAAACAGCTAACACAAGTAAACACCCGCCAGGGGTAAATATCTCTATAGGTAGAAATCTGCCACAGGTAAACACCCACTGCAAGTAAACATCTGCCACAGGTAAACAACTGCCACAGGTAAACTCCTGTTACTGCCACATGTAAACACCTGCCTCACATAAACTCCTACTACAGGTAAACACCTGCCACAGGTAAACTCCTACTACAGGTAAACTCCTGCCACAGGTAAACTCCTGCCACAGATAACTACTAGATCTAGTTTAAAATGGAACTTTTAAAAATAAAATTCTTTCCTACAATCCATATGCTGAAGGGTTACCTAATCAGTCTTGTTTATAAGCAACCCACTATAAATTCATACTAAATCTTCATTTCTTTATTACAACCAGGTACTTTAAGCTAATGCTCCAAAGGTTTTAAAATTTGAGGGTTTTGAATTTTTTGTTTTAAAATGCAAACAAAAATCTAAAAAAATGATTTTTTTAAACACAGAAAAATAAGAATGAGTACAGTCTAGTAGCGTTAAAAAAATTAGCTTGTTTACAGTACTAGCAGCAGAAATATTTAAAATGTTAAAAAAAATTAGAAAAGTGCTAGTGGCAGTGGGGAAAAAACCCAAAGTGAGCGGTGTTAATACTATTGTGATCATACATGTGTGAAATTTAAAAAAAAAACAACCTAAAAGCTATGTTTATTTTGGTGAATATCACAAAAGTGTATTTTATTTTGAAAAAATTTAAGTTTGTTAAAAATTTACACATTACTTCTAAAGACACTAAAACAAACAAAGGCAATTTTTTATTTTAAATTTGAATGTGTCATGTTTAAGTAAAAAGCCATTGTGAGAATCATCTTATCAAATGCCTACTGTCACAAGTGATAAACAACTTGTAACCAGGAGTGTCAAATTGTCCTAGCTGTCAACTTGACATAATGTCAACTATCTTAAATATCAAAGTCCTAATTTCAAAAGTTCTAAATGTCAGTATGTTATAAATGTTAACATTTCCTAAACGTCGACTAGTCGAAACGCCATCTAGTCCAAAATGTCATATTATCCAAAATGTCAACATGTTCTAAATGTCATCAAAAATGTTAAAATGTCATAATTTTCATCTTGTCCAAATGTCATCTAAGTCAAAATGTCCACTTGTCCAAAATGTCATAAATGTCATGACTGTCAAATCCAAATGTCAACTTCCCCTGCATCATTTGCAAAAGAATCACAGTATGATGTGAGTGAGTAAAAAAAAAACAACCTACACAGCACACTAGACTAATAAAATTTAAAAAAACCCAGGGTAACACAACTCCACTCACCTCTCACAGCATGGTTCTCCTTCTCCATGCGAATCAGCAGCAGCGTCTCCAGAATGGCCTTCTTCCACATGGCCCTGATCTCCACAGTGTTGTGAAGCTTACCATCACAGCTGTCTCCCTCCTCCTCCCCTGGGAAAATACACAAACTTGACACTAGTCTTCTCTACTTTAAAGCTTCTTTACATTTAGTTTTTTTAAAAATCAAGAAAAGGTAACTCTCAAATGTTAAAAAAAAAAAATTCTCATTTATGCTGGCTCCTTAAAAAACTATTACACTAAAAACAGATTTTTTATTTTTATTTCATTCACACAAAAGTCTGAATGATCCTGACTAAGAGTGTTATTCAAATAAAACCAAAATAAGTTTTTTCAGACATGGCATATTCACACAGACAGACGAGTTTTTAAGCACAGCACATCTCAGCCAATATAACACTAGTCAAAGCTTTTTAAGCTGTTGGCACGTGGGAATTTAAAAATAAAAAAAAACAAGGAACAAATGAAAATCTTAGCTTATTGAGTTATTTCCATTTTCTTTATTTTTTGTTGAACCAACTAGTTTTAATTAAAATTTCTGTTTTTTATGCCAGCTCTCTAACTCAAGAACCCTTTAATTTTTTTGCGGTTAAGGTAATCAATTAAGGATGTTTACACACGAGGTCTGGGTAATCAATTTAGAATATTCCTCACACACAAAACAAAGAAGGGAAACTTGATTAAGAAATTATTTCAAACCTTTCCAGCATTCAGGTTTAGCCACGGGATTAAATGAAAATCTCAGCTGGTTTTATCATGACCAATAAAATGTCTGCCTAGCTAACTATATCACAACAAAGTCGCAACCAACACAATTTCTGTCACAACCAACAAAATGTCTGCCTAGCTAACTATATCAACAAAGTCACAACAACACAATGTCCAGCTATCTAACTATATCACAATTTCTATCACAACCAACAAAATGTCTGCCTAGCAAACTATATCACAACAAAGTCGCAACCAACACAATTTCTGTCACAACCAACAAAATGTCTGCCTAGCTAACTATATCAACAAAGTCACAACAACACAATGTCCAGCTATCTAACTATATCACAATTTCTATCACAACCAACAAAATGTCTGCCTAGCAAACTATATCACAACAAAGTCGCAACCAACACAATTTCTGTCACAACCAACAAAATGTCTGCCTAGCTAACTATATCAACAAAGTCACAACAACACAATGTCCAGCTATCTAACTATATCACAATTTCTATCACAACCAACAAAATGTCTGCCTAGCAAACTATATCACAACAAAGTCGCAATTAACACAATTTCTGTCACAACCAACACAATGTCTGCCTAGCTAACTATATCAACAAACTCACAACAACACAATTTCTGTCAAAACCAACAAAATGTCTGCCTAGCTAACTATATCAACAACAAAGTCACAACAACACAATTTCTGTCACAACCAACAAAATGTCTGCCTAGCTAACTATATCACAACAAAGTTGCAACCAACACAATTTCTGTCACAACCAACAAAATTTCTGTCACAACTAACAAAATGTCTGCCTAGCTAACTATATCACAATAAAGTCACAACCAACACAATTTCTGTCACAACCAACACAATTTCTGTCACAACCAACAAAATGCCTAGCTAACTATATCAACAAAGTCACAACCAACACAATTTCTGTCACAACCAACAAAATGTCTGCCTAGCTAACTATATCACAACAAAGTCGCAACCAACACAATTTCTGTCACAACCAACAAAATGTCTGCCTAGCTAACTATATCACAACAAAGTCACAACCAACACAATTTCTGTCACAACCAACAAAATGTCTGCCTAGCTAACTATATCACAACAAAGTCGCAACCAACACAATTTCTGTCACAACCAACAAAATGTCTGCCTAGCTAACTATATCACAACAAAGTCGCAACCAACACAATTTCTGTCACAACCAACAAAATGTCTGCCTAGCTAACTATATCACAATAAAGTTGCAACAACACAATTTCTGTCAAAACCAACAAAATGTCTGCCTAGCTAACTATATCACAATAAAGTCGCAACCAACACAATTTCTGTCACAACCAACAAAATGTCTGCCTAGCTAACTATATCACAATAAAGTTGCAACAACACAATTTCTGTCACAACCAACAAAATGTCTGCCTAGCTAACTATATCACAATAAAGTTGCAACCAACACAATTTCTGTCACAACCAACAAAATATCTGTCACAACCAACAAAAGGTCTGCCTAGCTAACTATATCACAATAAAGTTGCAACCAACACAATTTCTGTCACAACCAACAAAATATCTGTCACAACCAACAAAAGGTCTGCCTAGCTAACTATATCACAATAAAGTCGCAACCAACACAATTTCTGTCACAACCAACAAAATGTCTGCCTAGCTAACTATATCACAATAAAGTTGCAACAACACAATTTCTGTCACAACCAACAAAATGTCTGCCTAGCTAACTATATCACAATAAAGTTGCAACCAACACAATTTCTGTCACAACCAACAAAATATCTGTCACAACCAACAAAAGGTCTGCCTAGCTAACTATATCACAATAAAGTTGCAACCAACACAATTTCTGTCACAACCAACAAAATATCTGTCACAACCAACAAAAGGTCTGCCTAGCTAACTATATCACAATAAAGTTGCAACCAACACAATTTCTGTCACAACCAACAAAATATCTGTCACAACCAACAAAATGTCTGCAAGAATACTTAGTCACAACCTCTCAACCCAGCTTAACAACTATGTGCTCTACCGCCCAGCCACGCAGCCCTAACCTCTAACCCTAACCAGAGTGCAAGTGTACTGAAACAGTGAGTGATAATGTACTCACCAAAGTCCAGTGAGTGTTGGGGGGTGCAGACGCGGTTAAAAATAGCTTTCCTCCAGGAGAAGCTTGGCCTCCTGGCTGAGGCTAGAAAAGCTGAGTCATCCATAGGGGAGCTGACTGAGGTCAAATGCTCCGACTGCTGAGGACTGACCAACAGGAAGCTGAACAAGCAAAACAAAAACTTAATTTTGAAGTATACACCTCTGTAATGGACCACATACAGGTAAATACATGATCATAATGCTGTTATATACTACTATATGTAATATACAATATTTTATAAAACTTGCAGCTAGCAGAGGTATAGCCACCCATTCCGCGCATTGTGCGAACTATCTATTTTTATTATATTTATTCACGTTAGTGAAAAAGCGCCTCACACCCAGTTCAAAATGTTGGTGGCACTTTTTACCAGTCACTAGTTTTTGCTTTGGTGCCACACTTTGCCTGTGTATAATTCAATACTTCAGCTTAAAAGAGCTTTTAAATATTTCTTCTACCCCTTCTGGCTCCCCACAGGCAGCAAGTGCTGACTTCAGCTGATGTAATGTTTCATTAAAAAGTTAATTAGTTATGATTTATGGATTTATATAGTCGGCATGGTTGGACACTAGAGAGCTGCCCTGCTAACCCAAAAGACTCAGGTCTGTGATAATGCTGTCCACCTATAAATAGGGAAAATAAAGATAGCAGCATATAAAACTGACCACTTATATCCCAAGGTCCCAAAAACAGATAACTACGTTATTTTTACCACTATTTTTAAAGGGTATCTTAGATTTTTCTGTTTTAATTTAGGTGAGAAATAAATAAACCCATAACAGAATTTAGCATACAATAGATTTGTTGAAGACAAAATCAAAAGAAAATAACTGACTTTGGCCACACATTTAGGAAGATGGTCTTCAGACCAGATTAGCAAGACAGGCCATCACATGGAATCCCCCAGGGAAAAAGATAAAGAGGTATACCATGAAAAACCTGAGTCATGACTTGGAGAGTGAAACAAGAAAGATTTCATACCCCTAGAGAAAGCACAGCGCTAGTCAGTGACTGATGAATGAGACACAACGCCAAGAACGACTCCAAAAGAAATTAAATAAACAATAAAACACCAGTTGAGTTTGATGTTAATGACTCAGGAATATTGACCAGCTGTTTCAAATTGAAATCAGAAGCTCAAACAGAAGCGTTTTAACATAACAATTTTTACCATTTTTAAAATTCCATGTGTAAATGGTAATAAGGTTAAGCTTTGTAACACTCTAATCTAACATTTGGCAGCTGAATATTTTGAAACTGACAAAAAGTTTGAATTTTAAAACAACTTATTTCAATTTTAAAGCTCACTTATTGAGGTCTTAATGAAGTCACGTTGTTTTCAAAAGACTTTGTTTTATTAAAACCTTAAATAAAATTGCCTTGGTTTAAGTTTTGTCAAATCTTTACTAAACATTTGTGATTTTCAGAGGACTGAATAGTTTTATTGCGATAGCCAGGTTGGGTGGTAGAGCACTCAACTGCTAACCTGAGAGACTATTTCAGATCTCAGCCCTAACTTGAGTCTGCAGCAAGTCCCTGAGTTCACCCAGTACTGATGGGTACCTGACCCAGGTAAAGTTGGCTGGGCAGAGTGCTGACCAGTCCATCCCTTGATACTCCAAGGTCAAGAACTCTACTTCATTTGCCTTAAGGTCTGAAAGTGGAACTAAACCTCTATTAAAATCTAACTCAACTTACGTAGTTTTCAAAGGACTGTTTGTTTTGTTGTGGTTGACATCCCTCCTTCTGGCCAGCTGACCATTGGCTACCTGGGAGAGTCCAATGCTGTCCAGAGTTGCACTCCGCTGACGTAGTGGTCCCGGGGAGGTAGGGGGGCTGGGGAAGTCATGGTGGTACTCCTTGCTCATGGGGGACGGCATGGGGGAGGCATCAGGGGTGGAGGTGACTGAAGAATCCTGGAACAAAAAATATCTTAGTTACTACACAGTTTGGCCAGGTATACGCTGGTTATCTAAACCTGTTACCATCACATTTTTCATGTTGTGTTGTATCAGTAGTACAACAATAAGTTACGTTTAAAACATGTTTGAGTTAGCCCTGTGAATGAGTCAATTAAGGACACATGCAAATAAATGTGTGTGTTCTGTGACATTAGAAACAAACATTTCAGTATTAAGTCCTACCAAAGTTTGATCTGACAGATAGAACTATAAAAAGACTTTATAAACTATATTGGCACACAAGGCATCAACTGTTGAGCAACATTTTATCCTGTCTGTTCAATTGTTAGGACTCTTTCCTTCAACTCTTTCTCTATTTATCTTCTCCATGTTTAGGCAGATCGTAATAAACCCACTACATGTTAGTAGAGTTGGTCTGTCATATAGTTTACCTATCCTCAATAAAATTCATATAACAAAAAAATACTGACTACAAATGTACAGCACAGGCCTTCAACATAACATTGTGTGATAAAAAAAACTTACAAAATAACAGTTTGAAAATATAAGAAGAAATGTTTTTTAAAATACTAACACTGAACTGCTTCCTGTGAGTAAATAACCTTTTCATCATCTTTATAGGCTAGTCATTGGCCACACTAAACAAACCACCCTATCATGTTGGTTCCATCCTCTTTTAGAAAACACCAGTCTTAAGGGAGATAACCCTTAGTAAAATTACCACGTGGAAACCACTTTTATAATCCAATATTTAAATTAACCCTGAACCTGAACAAGTCACTCCACTGAAGCCAATTATCTCATTCAACATTAATGACTAACACAAACCTCCACTGTAACAGCAATTATATTTTAAGAAGAATCATCCATTCAGCTGAACACACATGGAAACCAATTATTTTATTTTCTTAAATTACAAGAGATTACAGAAAATCCACTGAATTATATTCACTCATTTGGAAACTAAAATGTCAAACTTCATAATATAAGGCTAGTGAAACCAATTTAACAGTCCACCATTGTATTAATATCTATTTAATGATCCTTAGCCTAGATGGGAACAATTTACTTACACATAACCTCTTACACCATTACATCCACAGAAGTGAAATAGGAATGTATATCATCACCCAGTATTCAAACAAAGAAAAACTCCAGTCCATCAATGAAACAAATCCAATGATATGATTATATCAATGTGAATCTATTCTATCACAAGGTGATTATATTAATGTGAATCTATTCTATCACAAGGTATTCAAAGAAAGAAAAACTCCAATCCTGAATGAAAGAAATCAAGTGATATAATTTTAAAAATGTGAATCTGTACTAGATCTAGATTCTATCACCAAGTATTTAAACAAAGAACAACCCCAGTCCTTAATGAAATCGATCCACGACAGTTACCACTGCAAGTGAAACCACTTTTATCACACCAATAATCTCTGACCAAATGTTTCATAATTACACCCTAGTGTATATTGTCACACTTGACTGTAGCGTGCTGTCCCCTTGTTTTTCCCTACCCTCCTCATTGACCCCTGATCACATGGGACTGTCTCAAGTTAAAGGTAGGGCTAATACACCTGGCCTAAGGCACATGGACTTAAAGGTAAAGATGGGCCATTTCTGGGGGGAGGGGGAGCTTTAAACAACACAAGCACACTGAAAATAAACTGCAGTAGCCTATGTGTATGTGCAGTGTGTTGGGCAATTAGTGATTTTGTTTGGCAGTTTTATAGCATAGGCCTTGCCCTACACATCATGTCAGTTGATGGGAAGCTTTTGTTTTAAAACTTATTTTTGTCATGTCAAACTTGATACCTTTAAACCTACTTTTTCATCATGTCAAACCTGATCATAAGCCCATGTTTTTAAACCTACTTTTTTCATGTCAAACCCAATAACAAGCCCATGTTTTTAAACCTACTTTTTTCATGTCAAACCCAATAATAAGCCAATGTTTTTAAACCTACTTTTCATGTCAAACCTGACAAGTCCATGTTTTCAACATCGAGATGTTAACAGTTCTCAGATTTAGAATCATTCCAATGAAAATGACTGCCTATTAATCATGTTGTATGCTGATTTTAAAACATAACTTAGAACTATCTGATATCTAACATTCTAGTTAAAAAAAAAAGACTATCTTTTAACATCCCAGATATGAAATTGCTTGTAATGTGAAATCTTGCCATGTGCATTTTGTTTGAATTTTTATTAAATTCTGCTTTAGATCATAATGAGAGAGTTAAATCCATACCCTTGAGAAACTCAATAAAAGGCTGAGATGCTCTCCTTCCTTCCCCTCCCCCCATACCCTCAAGAATAAAGAAAGAAGATGCATAATTTTATTTTCTTGTCTGAGTCTGGGAAGCTGCTGCTGAATTGTGTGAGTGGGGTGTGAGTGGGTCTGTGAGAATGAGTGTGAGTGCGAGTGGTGTGAGTGTGAGGTGAGTGGGTATGAGTATGAGTGCTGTGTGTATTGTGTGAGTGTGTGTGATATGTGTAGTGTGAGTGTGTTGAATGTTCTGTGTGTAGTGTGAGGTGAGATGAGTGTGTATGAGTATGAGTGCTGTGTGTATGGTGTGAGTGTGTGTGATATGTGTAGTGTGAGTGTGTTGAATGTTCTGTGTGTAGTGAGGTGAGATGAGTGTGTATGAGTATGAGTGCTGTGTGTATGGTGTGAGTGTGTGTGATATGTGTAGTGTGAGTGTGTTGAATGTTCTGTGTGTAGTGTGAGGTGAGATGAGTGTGTATGAGTATGAGTGCTGTGTGTATGGTGTGAGTGTGTGATATGTGTAGTGTGAGTGTGTTGAATGTTCTGTGTGTAGTGTGAGGTGAGATGAGTGTGTATGAGTATGAGTGCTATGTGTATGGTGTGAGTGTAGTGTGTGTGAGTGTGGTGTGAGTGGGGTGTGTGTGGTGTGAGTGGGTATGAGTGGGGTGTGTGAGTGTGAGTTGTGTGTGTGTTTGTGTGAGTTGATCTGATTTGTATGTGAGGGTCTGTGTGTATGTTGATGTATGTGTGTCCAGGTGGGAATAATGTGTAAAAATTGGTCTGTGTGTTTGTATGTGTTTCCATGTTTGTGTGGATTTGTGTATACAAGTGTGTGAATTTATTTGTGTTTGACTGCATGAGGATGGCACATAGGAACTACTGACAAATATGTAGGCACATGAGAACCATTGGCACATATGTAGTAACATGAGAATCACTGGCACATCTGTAGTAATATAAAAACCACTGGCACAAATCCAGGAACATGAGAACCATTGGCACAAGTCCAGGAACATGAGAACCACTGGCACAAATCCAGGAACATGAGAACCACTGGCCAAAGTCCAGGAACATGAGAACCACTGGCACAAATCCAGGAACATGAGAACCACTGGCACAAATCCAGGAACATGAGAACCACTGGCACAAATCCAGGAACATGAGAACCACTGGCACGAATCCAGGAACATGAGAACCACTAGCACAAATCCAGGAACATGAGAACCACTGGCACAAATCCAGGAACATGAGAACCACTGGTACAAATCCAGGAACATGAGAACCACTAGCACAAATCCAGGAACATGAGAACCACTGGCACAAATCCAGGAACATGAGAACCACTGGCACAAATCCAGGAACATGAGAACCACTGGCACGAATCCAGGAACATGAGAACCACTAGCACAAATCCAGGAACATGAGAACCACTGGCACAAATCCAGGAACATGAGAACCACTGGCACAAATCCAGGAACATGAGAACCACTGGCACAAATCCAGGAACATGAGAACCACTGGCACATATGCATGCATATAAGAACCAGAGGCCGAGGTTGAAAATTGTGTGACATGTTATAACACCAGAAAATACAGCTCAACAAATAAATCATTCCGAAAACAGCACTAAAATAATTGAACAACACAGACGTTCTCAAAAAGATCATACACAAAAAAATATTCGAAAACAACGCCAGAAATAAATTGAACACAGGCGTCCGCTTTCAAGACCACATAAAAACAAACGCAGGCAAGAGGACAATGGAAAAAAACAACACAACAACTGGACAGCCACCATAGCGACAAGACCACATAAAAACAAACGCAGGCAAGAGGACAATGGAAAAAAACAACACAACAACTGGACAGCCGCCATAGCGAAACCCAAACATTAACCTGTCACCCATTAGGCCTATCCCGATCGATTTTTGTTCCCCCTAAAGTCAACACAGTAGGATTTCCCCGAATCGGGGATTAAATTTTTTTTAGACGAGGGCTGGGTCACTTAAGTCAGGTCACGTGGGAGTCATTTCACGTTGAACCCGCGTCACGTCAAGAAATGTCACATAAGTCACATTAAAACATGTTATATGACTTCACTCTATATCAACTTATGTTAAAACATTCAAAATATTTTTATGCCGACATTTAAGATCAGTATTTAAGTATCGTCGATCGCTTACATATCTATAAAAAAAAACGATACACACTAAAGAAATAACAAATCCCATATTTATAGCGATACTTAGGTATCGAGTATAATATATCGACACATAAATTAAAAACGAAACCACAGCAATATCTATATGTGGATGCATTCGATTTGTTTAGGTATCGAGTTCAAATCGGCAGACTACAATAAATAACGCCAGACAACACAATATGCCCTATTCATACAGTGTAAAATCGTATCAACCATTACGCCAATACAATCCTGTCACTGACCATCAGTCAAGTGACTGACCATCAGTCAAGCCACTGACCATCAGTCAAGTCACTGACCATCAGTCAAGTCACTGACCATCAGTCAAGTCACTGACGATCAGTCAAGTCACTGACCATCAGTCAAGTCACTGACCATCAGTCAAGTCACTGACCATCAGTCAAGTCACTGACCATCAGTCAAGTCACTGACCATCAGTCAAGTTACTGACCATCAGTCAAGTCACTGACCACCAATCAAGT